ATGTTAGCTCTAGTAATACCCCCAGTCAGATAATAGCTACCGATCGAGCCGAGGTCCGGCCCTCTCGGGCACCCTCGAATCGGAATGCTAAACGCGTCCCGAGGTCCCCTCTCGGGGACCCTTGAGCCTGATCACTCCATGGAGCGCCCGCCAAAGCATCCTAAGAGCTTGGCGGCCTCCCAGGCGCCTCGTGCGCCAGGCCACCTCAAGTCCGTCGGATCTGTAAAGGCCCCTAAGGCCAACAGTGGCTCATCCAGCCCAAAAAAAAAAAAAAAAAAAAATGCGCGGCCCTACCCATACCGGAGGATCCAAACCCGTGGGTTCTGGCTAGCCCACCGATTCTGCGTCAGATGAAGCTTTAATAGTCTCGGGACTGAAAGCAAAAACATCAGTTAATACAAGATACAAGATTGGTTTCATATTTAATTGATCTGCTTCAAGTTTGCTTTTAAACATGTAACATTTTAATAGCGTTATTAATTTTAATAATAAGCAATTAACACTCAAACTAACTCATGTTGGAAGTTCTTTAAATGAAAACTTAAAAGCTATCCATTTTAATGTAATCCCTTTAATTTCTCTTTCAGTGTGAAACACATTATAATAATATAGTCTTTGGTGACAAAAGCCTTTGTCAAGAAGGACTCAGGCGAGGGCCTTTACAATATAATGCCACAACAATACAGAATATTATTAACATTAAATTGAAGATTAATCGTAGCGGGTATTATTTTGAATAATATATTATATTAAGATCATCATACAACATATCGGTAAACCCAAAATAAAGTAAAGTAAACGACTTATACATGCCTGCTCGACAAAGGCCTCATCTGAAACCTAAATAGGTAATCAAGTAATTACTACTCAAAAATTAGCCATTGCATATCTATATGTAATATATGTATTTGGTGTACCTATAATCTGAATTATAATAAACATTCGCACTGTTCTTTTTAAATCTGATATCGGTATATTTTACTTATAAGACAAGTTGAAGAAATGTAAATAATGTAATCAACCAAAGTTTGTTCTGACCCATCTTATTTAAAAATATTGAAGTAAACCAGATCACAATGAGTTACATTTTTAACTTAACTCTTTAAAGATTTTTTGTCGCTAAAGCATATATCTAATGTGTTACTGCCGTTTTCAGAATATGCGATGGTATTACCGTATTGATCGACTATGTAAATAACAAAATACGATTAAAATGGGCGTTAAAGGTCAAAGGTCACTATTTATTAAAATATTGGATGGAAATATTCAATTAAACTAAAGGTTATGAACTGAAGAAAATTGGTATTTATATTCCTAGTTCTGCCTTTTGAGTAAAGAATTAATTTATAAACTTATAAATTACTAGCGATGTGTTTGTAAACATTTTTATCTCACCTAAAAATAGAAGTGAATATGAACTGAAAATATTAGAAAATACTTTACAGGGCTCCACCTAATTAGTGGCGCAAATTATGAAATTTGAATTGTTAAAAAGTAATCCGAATTGGTCACGAAATGGTCAGTGACTTTTATTTATTATATAATACTTTGATAATAACTACAGAGAATTTAAAATTGTAAGGTTACCGGAAAAAAATTGGCGGCTCAAATTAAATCGGATCTAAAATTATTTCAATTGTTCACAAAATGGTCACAATTGATCAATTAAGTTTGATAACTGGTCGATGTTATTTACGTATTAATAAGAAAGTAAAATATCAAAGATTGTACGAAAATTATGAAATAAACAGAATTCGTCAGAACAATACAACTATTAAATAATTGGAAACACTATAAAAAATACAAGGGTTTTAAAATTTTAAGGATATCACCTCGATTTGTTCGGATGAACTGTTCACAAAAAAAAGCATTGTTGCAACAATTATGCAAAAGGTCAGAGTATTCCGGCAACTGGTCAGCATTTAGTTTTATTCATTTATTTGAAAACTTTTTGCACAATAACATACAATGGCGGACTTAATACCATTAGGTGTTTTCTCTAACAATCAACCGACAAATAAATACAGAAAATGAAAAGGATCTCCTATAGAAAAATATATGAGTTGACGTAAACTACCTGCCAATTGCTAACAACTAAACATCAGTTATCAATTCTGCTAAGTAATTCTGCTAAGTAATTCTGCAAAACCGGCTAAGTGCGAGTCGGACACGCACACGAAGCGCTCCGTACCATTTTCTAAAGAAACATCATGTCTATTGTATGGGAGCCCCACTTAAACATTTTTTTTATTCTGTAGTAATACTAAATATTTTTTTGTTATAGCAGCAACAGAAATACATCATCTGTGAAAAACTGTCTAACTATCACGGATCAAGAGATACAGCTTGTTGACAGACGGACAGACGAACGACACAAACAGCCAGACAGATGGCGGGGGTCATAGGGTTCCGTTTTACCGTTTGGGTACGGAACCCTGAAATTTAGGTAAATATTCTCCGTGGATAAAATTTTTCACTGAATAAACTGAAAGGAAATTTGGTTTCCTTTCAGAATGTTCGACTATCTTCAATGATAAACAGACAATAGGTTTCCTTTTGTTTCAATCTTAAAAAAGAATATATTTATATACAAAGTTAATGGGCCGCTCCATTGGTTTTGCGGTATTGCTTTACCGGTTTCTACTACATAAAAGACGTCTCAATTTTTTTCCTACAGACTACAGAGTATTTTTTCTCAGCTGCTGGTGCAAAATCATTATTACATACGAGTATGTTGAACTGTTATGTATGAACTGATTTTTGTGATAATTGTGGAATTAATGGTTAAAATGAGAAACATTTTAAGCATTTTCCAATTACTGTTTTTGGACCAAATACCTGTTATGAATATACAATATTTACTGTTTTCGTTCTTATTGTAACGATTGTAGGTAAGGCTACTTGGCAGCAGAGAGTTCAGCACAGCATGTGAATCATGTTGGAAGTGGTTTCGGCTCGGTTTTTACGACCGAAAGAATTAATTCTGAGTCACACAAATACTTCTACCGCGTGGGAATTGAACCTACAACCCGCGGCGCCCAAGTCAACAGCTTAGCAACTGCACCACCAAATCATTGTTGTAATACATTAATTTAATATCTTGATTGATTTTTTTTAAATAAATCCTCACAACACAACATTCTAATAATTCCTCTTATTATTATTCTAATAATAATTTTAAGATATCTTGATCATAAAGCACATATAAAGTCTAGAGACTACAATGATAGATGTAGCCGGTACCATTTTGTTCCATTACATGTTCGACGAAATATCAACGACGTTTGCTTGTATTTAAAAATTGTTAACGGATCAATAGACTCACCTGAGTTATTATCTGAAATCTTGTTAAATTTTCCATTGCCGAATAAAAGAAAACGTAAATCCTTCCACACTCCAAAAACTCGTACAAATTATAGAAGTAACCATTTTATGATAAGGACAGCAAAATTTATAAACAACCAAACGAATATTGATCCATTTCATACCTCACCAGCGGTGGCCAAGGCACTTCTTACTAAAGACCACTTTGTCACATAAAATATATATATATATACATACATATTAGCTTTACTGTTATTTTTACCATAATTATGTTCATGCCATTGTACTCACGTGTCTTTTTTTTTATTCCTTGTATTTATTTATTTTCTATAGTAACTGTAATTTAAGATTTCTAAATGTGAAAACTTATAAATGGCTTCTTTAGTATTTAATATCACTCAATTATCTTTGTTAATAGCTGTAAGTTTTCCGAATAAATTAAAATAAAATAAAATAAAATAAACGGATTTTATCACGGTTTATTTTTAATATTATACATCCCCATTAGCGAATACGTCAGAGCACTCGTTGTCAAAGATGGAGTCTGTCACGTGACCATGAAAGCACTAAACACGTGAACTTGTGCGGGACAACTTTGTGGTAATTATGCATACGAACCGTCGCGTGTTTTTAGTTCGAATTGCTGAGCGAAAATTGAAGCCTCCAGTCATGATGGATATAAATTCCGCGCGTCATGGAGTTGACGTTGAGTTATGAATTCGTAGAACAAACAGGCAAATTGAAATTTGAAATCGTGTCATGACATGCACATGGTCAAATTAAGGATCGTGACATTCTTTTTTCTTGTTCCTAAATTACTTGTACGTATATTTTTTAGGTTTAATAGTCACTGCATAATGTATATGGATTCACAATGAATAGGGCCACGCATATTTTAATTTTTCACGAATGGACATGCTCATCCGGAGAAATACCACGGATTCACAGAAGTGGAAGTGTTATACTTTCGCAATCCGTCTGATGAGTGAGGTAGCCAGGGAAAATTATTTTCAGGTTGGCAAAACATCTTCCACCCATCAGTGGTATCCATCAGGTCTCTACGCATCCGACAACAAAATGAACCAATTTTTTTTTTTTATTATAAACGATTTCTTTTACATCTATGGTATCTCTGGATCGCCCATTAGGTAGACTGTTAAAGAATTCTGCAGGCATTAAGTCCACCTATATACAAGATCATTTTTGAAAGTTTAAAGAAATAAACAAATAAAATTCCGGATTATATTAAAGAAATTTGTTATATAAATAACTAGGTAAATATTATCGATGGAAGTAAGAAATCAACTTACTGGACGAAATAAAATATATATCTGCGAAATAAGACACTCTTAATTGTTCCACGTTTATTGCGAGACTCCCACCGCCCGAAATCGTCTTACAATAGTTTTTCGAGTCTACCCTATATCTAAAGCTAAACATATGACATACTAAACTACAAACAATATACCACACCACCCTTAATACAATATAAATATGTCTTAAATAATAAACTTCTAACTTTTATATAAAACTATTTTAATCTTAAACATTTATTCTATGACATATAAATTCCCGTAACACGAGATAACCAAATTATATATATAAAATAAATCACTATGTTGATGAAGGAAACCGTACTGGCGGATGTCTGTTTCTTACAGGGTAACGGCGGTTTAATTCGGGCTCAAAACATTGTGGTTGTATAGCATTATTAATATCAGGCGATGCCATGCCACGCTGTGCTCCCGCCGCACCCGCCATCGTGCCGGCCAACGCCGCCGGACCTTCCCCTGGGTTATTAGTATTACTAGTTACGTTAATTAGAAACGGATTTATTAAATTACGCCTGGATGACTCTTTAATCGTGATCGGGTCTTGCAAAGGAAAATTAAACCTGTGTCTTAGCTGGTCTGCATGTCGGTGATGTGAACTTCCATCGATGCCCAAAATTTCATAGTCAGTGCTACCTAGCCGCAACTGAACTTTTCCGTCCAACCATTTTTTTCCCGTGCCGTAGTTACGGTATAAAATCTCATCCCCCTCGTTAAAACACCGCTGTGACCCGCCTGCTGCCAACTGCTGGCGTCTTTGCGCTGCATTAACGCGATCTGCGCGCTCCGGTTTTAAACAATCGAGTCGCATCCGTAACGAACGGCCTTGTAATAATTTTGCCGGACTTTCTCCTGTAGTGCAATGTTCGGTATTTCTGTAAACTAATAGAAATCTAAGGAGAGCCGTGTCTACGTCTAAATTTTGAGAAAGGGCTTTCTTTACAACTTTTTTACAGGTTTTGACTGCATTTTCGGCCGCTCCGTTGGACGAAGGATGATATGGAGCAGAAAACGTGTGTTGTATTCCATTGTTCTCCAAAAACTGTTTAAATTCTAAACTTGTGAAAGGTGGACCGTTATCCGAAACTAATTGTTTTGGTAAACCGAACCGAGACCATATTTCTCTTAGCGCTTTTATCACCGCTTTAGCGTTGGTAGAAGACATTTTTATTACCTCCATCCATTTAGTGCACGCGTCAATTAGGACTAAGTACGTGTTCCCTGCGATTGGGCCGAAAAAATCAATGTGTAAACGGGACCAAGGACGATCTGGCCAAGGCCACGAGCGAATCGCATGGGCAGGAGGCGCGTCCGCCACCTCTAAGCACACCTGACACGACCGACATAACTTCTCTATATCTTCATCTATTCCCGGCCACCATACGTAACTGCGCGCTAACCCTTTTGTTTTAACCATGCCCATGTGCGAGTCGTGCAACTCTTTTAAAACTTTAGACCTACAGACGCTCGGGATCACAACACGATGGCCCCACATTACGCAATCAAGTTCCGTATATAGTTCGTTTTTTCTGTTATAATAAGGTTTTAATTCTTTAATATCCAATTCTCCTGGCCAGCCATCTCTTATATAACTAATAACTCTGCTTAAAATAGGATCATGTACACTTTCTTTTTTTACTATGTTATAGTCTAAGAGTAACGCTTCCGTCGCGAAATGCAAATACGTTTGCTCCGGTTCGTCGCTTTGTTCGCACGAACCAGTTTCTTTATAAGTTTTTATCATACGAGATAACGCGTCGGCCGTATTACGCTCGGTACTTATGAATTCAATCTTAAAATTATACGAAGATACAATTAATGCCCAGCGCTGTAGTCTACTAGCCGTCATATTAGGAATACTATGCCCGGGATCGAAAATACTCACTAAGGGCTTGTGATCCGTTCTAAGTACAAATTCTCGCCCATATAAATATTGATGGAATTTTTTTAATGCGAAAACAATCGCCAAAGCCTCTTTTTCTATTTGGCTGTAATTTATTTCTGCGGGCGTGAGAGCTCGCGAAGCGTACGCGACTGGGCGCTCGCGGCCGGCCCGCTGCTGCGCCAGCACCGCTCCCACCCCGCGCGAGCTGGCGTCGCACGTCACCACCACTGGCAGCCGCGTGTCATAATGATCTAACACCTCAGCTTTACTTAATAATAATTTCACATTCTGAAATGCTTGCTTTTGCTCCTTCCCCCAAAACCAATGCCTACCTTTTTTTAAAAGTGTGTAAAATGGATTCAGGTAAAAACTTAAATTCTTTACAAATCTACAATAAAAATTAACCATTCCTAAAAATGACCGCAATTCGGATGCGTCGTTAGGTTCACGTAAATTTAAAATGGCTTTTATCTTTTCGTTATCAACCTTTATACCGTCTTTGTTTACAATGTAACCGAGATATTTTACTTCGTTCGCAAAAAATACGCATTTTTGTTTCTTAATTTTAAACCCGTTTTGGCTTAACCTTAACAGTACCTTGCGCAATGTATCTAGATGATCTTTTTCAGATACACTATAAATCAAAATATCGTCTAAGAACACCACTGTGTTAGGTATATCCTTCAAAAGATTTATCATGATTCTTTGAAAAATACCGGGACTGGAAGCCAAACCGTAAACTAGACGATTGTACATATAAAGCCCCCTATGTGTATTTATTACAGTGTACTTTTTTGACCCATCTAATTCTATTTGGTTGTAGGCCTGGGACAAGTCTAACTTACTGAACCAATTACAACCGCTAAGATTCGATAGTAAATCTTCAATTTTGGGAACCGGAAATTTATCCACCAGTAAGACACGGTTTAATGTTACCTTATAGTCTGCGCAAATACGAAGCGACCCGTCCGGTTTATTTACTAATACCAAAGGTGAGGCCCAATCGGAGGCGTCAACCGGCTCGATGACTCCGGCCTGCAGCATGGCGTCCAGCTCGGCATCGACCCGCTCGCGCATCGCGTACGGCACCGGCTGCGCAGCGTTGCTTGCCCACCGCTAAACCGCCCCAGACCGCCATCGAATAAGTGTTTAAATCTGTCGAATAACATGTTTAAACTTTCCATTTTATCACAGTTTTGTGTACAATTTATTCTATTTACATGAAATTTTGGGATATCAATCCCCAATTCAGCTAACCATTGCCTTCCCAACAATATGGTTGTGCCATTTTCTATTACATACAAATCAAGTATTTTACATTTACCGTTGTAATGTACTGGGGCCTCTATATAACCGGCTGGCTGAACTTTACTGCCGTCATAAAATGAAAGTGTTAATTTACAGGGTAACAATGCCAAATGTTTAAATTTTTCTATATACAAATTATAACTTATACAAAATAATGCTGAGCCTGTGTCGATCTCCATTAATAATACATTATTATCAACACTAATTGGAATGCTAACCGGCTTGTAGTCCCTCAAAGACATTTGGAACATTGGACGCTCGTTTTCTTCGCCTTCGCTTGCCGATGCCGGTGCGGAGGGGTCCTCCTCCCCCTCAGCTACGTGGTGGGCGCGCTCATGACGCACGGAGCCTTGCCAGTGCCGCACGCCGGAGCCAGTGCCTCTGCCGTGCGCTGAACCGCGAATGCCAGTTGATCCCGTACTCGAAGTCCACACGCGCCTGTTGTTACTTTTATTTTGATGTCTTTCACCGAGCGAGCACACCCGTTTTAAATACGATACGGACATTGACGCCAAATATGGCGGGAACTGCCACACGTTGTACAGGAACTCATTTGCACCCTATTCACTTCGGTCACTTGATAGTCTGCCGTGCTCATCCTTTGTCGCTCCTGTTTTACTATCCTCGTTAAATTTTCGTTCGCAATGGCGATACCAGAGGTGCTCGCGCCGCGGCCCGTGCCATCTACCACTGATGAGTCACGCTGGGCTGCTTCCATTGACGTAGCTAATTTCACTGCGCCCGTCCAAGTTAAAGAATCCTCAGCAAAAAGTCGTTGACGCATCATATCACTGCGTAGACCGCACACAAATTGATCCCTCATATTTTCTTCCAAAGTGTTTTTGAATTCGCACGATTTTGCCAAACGTTTTAAATCCGTTACAAACTGAGATACTGTTTCGTTTTCACTCTGCCTACGTTGGCGAAACTTATAGCGCTCTGCTATAATTGACGCTTTTGGTTGCAAATAATCGCTCATTATTCTTACAACATCGTCGTATTTCATTTTAGCGGGTTTAATTGGGCTGCACAGGTTAGTCATCAGTTCATATCCACTTTCGCCAACCACAGATATCAACATAGGTAACTTTAATTCTTCCTTGACGCCGTTAACCAAAAAATACATTTCCAACCTTTCATAAGATGAACTCCAATTCCCATTTGAAACATCAAATTCTCCGATTCTACCCATGTTTGCCATATTTTATTATGATAAAATTCCTCGTCGCCACTGCGAAATAAGACACTCTTAATTGTTCCACGTTTATTGCGAGACTCCCACCGCCCGAAATCGTCTTACAATAGGAGTCTACCCTATATCTAAAGCTAAACATATGACATACTAAACTACAAACAATATACCACAATATCAATCAATCAATCAAAAATCTTTATGCAAATAGACGCTTGCGCGTTCTTATGAATCGTCAAATTTTACATAAAAAATTATACATAGAGGTACGTAAGGTACCACCGGTTCGGAAAGCAGTTCTGTTGAGAAGAGACCGGCAAGAAACTCAACAGTTGCTCTTTTTCAAAGATATCAGTTTACAATATAAAATACCGGTATAATAGTCTTATTCTACCCTACGTGAGTATCAACAGTATTAACTCCACACATCGGCGTCGTGGAGATATTCTGCAATAGTGTAATATGCTTTAACCATAAGTTGACTTTTCATTTTACGTTTAAATTGATCAAGCGGCAGCCTTAATATCGACTGTGGAATTTTATTATTCATGCGCACACCTTGCCCCATGAAGGACCAAGTAAGTTTGTCCTTATTTCTAGTGTTTAATTTATGTCTATCACTATTCTTTAGGTAAAAATTAAGGTTATGACGAATATACAAAACATTACAATAAATGTATTGAGAAGCTACAGTGAGTATATTAATCTCTTTAAAAATATCTCTGAGCGAACTTCGGGCTCCGATATTATAGATTGCTCGGACAGGTCTTTTTTGTAGAATAAATATAGAATTCAAATCGGATACACTACCCCACAACAAAATGCCGTATGACAAGATGCTGTGAAAATAGCTGAAGTAAACAAGTCTGGCAGTGCCGACGGAGCTTAGCCTATTCGCAAGAGATGATACATGGGGACTCCACTGGAGCTTTGAATCTACTGTAATTCCCTGAAATACGGCAGACTCAACAGGATTAATGGGTACTTTATTTAATATTAAACTAAAACTTTGCCATCTTATACTGGGAGGGGTAAAAAGAACACATCTAGTTTTTTTGGCATTTAATACCATTTTATTAATAGTAAACCAGTGGAGGATATGCGAAAGTGCACTATTCACCTCGTCATAATTTAATACATTTCGTTCAGCCTTAAAAATTAATGATGTATCGTCAGCAAACAGTACAACATCACACAACTCGCTGGCATAAACATAAAAGGGGAGATCATTAATATATACTAAAAATAATAATGGGCCCAAGATTGATCCTAGTGGGACACCCATTTTCATAGGGGTCCCAGCGAAATTAATATCATTTATTGATACTTTTTGGATTCTATTACTAACGAATTACCACTAAATTACCACGAATGCCATAATAATCTAGTTTGTGAAGTAGGGTTTTGTGGTCTACGCAGTCGAAAGCTTTTGAAAGGTCACAAAAGACACCTATTGCATCTTGTGACCTTTAACATTTCCCAGGCATGATAAATATGTTTGGCAAGTGCGACACCCGCATCTGTTGTCGATCTGCCTTTAATGAATCCATATTGCTCATTATGAAAAAATTGATTTATTTTAAAATGTACCAATAGTTGGTTTAAAATTAATTTTTCAAAAATTTTACTAAGTGATGGCAATATGGAGATAGGTCTATAGTTGCCTGGATCATTTTTGTCCCCAATTTTGTAGACGGGTATTACCTTACTGATTTTCATAAGCTTTGGAAATATTCCAGTATCTATACAGGTGTTGAAATATATCTTAAAAACATAGGAATAAAAACTGGATTAAAAGAATAAATTTTGTTCTTTCAAATCTTTCTACTCGAACTTTAACAAAAACGAAAAACGGCATGAAGTTACATGTAATTAAAACGTCTATGCAAAATAAACAAGTGAAAATCCAATATAAATATACAGAAAAAAGTACAACCATTTTTGTAATCAACCTTGGAATTTGGTGCTAGCTTATGGCCAAATGATTTCCCTATGGAGAAGTTTTCTCGGTTGGAAACTTTTACTTAATGTGATTTTTATTTAAAGAATAAAACTAGACTAATTTTACAAGATCCTTTGTTTCATTAATATTGCAAGAATATAACAGCATTGTAAAAATACAGTATTAGGAAACTCTTAAAAATACACTACACACAATAAGGCGTTAAATTAAAATTTTATATGCACATACTCGTATTTATGTATCATAAGTACCTAATAACCAGTGAGTATAAAGTGGAAAGCTGGAATAGCCGATGTAAAAATATAAGTGGCTCATATGTATTTAATCTCTGCGACCCTAGTCGCAGACTTGAAATGCTTTAGACTATTCAGCTTAAATTATACTTATAATTATTTTTGGCCCTTACTCTCGGCTCCGTACATGTGGATGTTTGAAATAAATGAGTTAATTTTCAGGGAGATGTAGCATAAGACATGCCTTAAATTACTGTAAGCCACGCAGTATCTTCTACTGTTACAATAATAGGTATGTCATTCATCATCAAGGAGAGTACCTAGGTGCTACTATTAGACGGTGATAATCCCTTAACTTCAAGGGATCCAATTGATTGTTTGTCTCCTCATATGAAACTTTCCATTTAATATTTTATGTGAGAAAGTGGCAAGCGAGCTAGCGGTTCACCTTATGTTAAGTGATAACCACAGCCCATTGACATGCTCAACACCCGTAGGGTTGCAAATGCGTTGCCACCTTATTTTAAAGTAGGTCACTCGCTAGACGAAAGGCAGAAGTATGACATCTCCACTTCAGGAAGGTCTTCTATGAGGTCATGGTATTACATTTATTTAATTAACAAAGTCTAATGGATATCGCGAAAATCTGTTATTATTTTATATTGAATATACAAGTTTTCAGCTTTATTTCGTCAGTAAACTTTTAAGAACACATCCCTGGTAAGCTTAAAAGCGTAGATAAATAGCTACTATTAAGAAGATAATTATCTTATCTTATATTATAACAAAAACTTAGGAATAAATAAGGAAATGAAAATGTTAAGTCTTTTGTTTGAAAATATTCATCCTATACATCGTTGCAGCCAAGTTTAATGCTCATTTAATCTTATTATAAAAAAGAATTCGCCTAAGACAACAAAGCATTATAATCCCGGGCTTGATTTAAAATGAATGAGGGAGAAAACAAACGACGGACGCGGTCGTTGTTATTTCCGGAAGTAATTAAACCGTGGCGAAAAAAAAGGTGAAAACAAAGAGTTTTGTACGAAATAGGTACCAGCAAATATTCTCCCTACTTAAAAGTTTTAGATTTATTTAACTGTAAACAGAGACTATTTATATTTGATTATATAGTTGCTAAGGTATTGGTTTTGGGACCCGGGTTCCAGGGTTCAATTCCCATGGTACGTTTTAAAAAAATATAGCAAATACCATTAAACAACATGATTCACATGCTGTGCCGAACAGTAACAGTCACGTGGAACAGTAAACTAAGTTGATTTGAGCCTACTGGCTATTACGGAGAACTTCTCATATTCAATTGTTATTGTAAGAAGTTGGTCAAGTTTTTAAACTTGACGTTAAATGTTTATTAATTTAATTTGTTAATTATTTAAACCTAAGCTAGTTTGGAGTTTAAAAATTATGTGATATTCTAAGTTATATAGAAAACGTTACGTACGCGTATAGCACTTTAGCACTCTGTATTTTTTTTATTTAACTGCGGTAACAAACTGTCACAAGAGTGTTAGAAGAGGATGATTCGTTTCGCAATGTAACTTCAGCCCTACAAAGTTTTACTTGTAAGCTGAAACAACTTATAACTTAGACTTCATCTTTGAATGTCATGGTGATGTATATGTATAATGAAGAAAAACGGTGAAGTAATATTTCTATCCAGTCTTCAATAGCAGCTCGTCATTGGAAATACTATATAATACCTCCGGTTCGGATTCTAATTTACTGCATAGAAATAAAGAGCCGTGATAGCTCAGTGTCCGGGCGCTGGCCTTTATTTCAATATACTCTAGCAACCTGAGTTCGATCCCCGGTGCCGGCAGCAATGAAGTTTTTAACTTTAAGACTTATCACGTGCTCTGCGGTGAAGGAAAACATCGTGAGGAAACCTGCATATTTTCGAAATAATAACAAAAAAAATATAGAACTGATACCCTCTGTATAGAGGAGCTGGCCTTTGCCCAGCAGTGGGACATGTATAGGCTGTTACTTTACTTTTTTTTATTCGTATATTTGAACTATTCAAGTCATATCTTAGGCTTCAATATATTATCTTAAGCTCATTTATTCTTATAATAAATGATATTTTTAATTTGTTAT